AAATATAGCCATTAGTTTTAAGTAATATACAACTGTGTTTTCTTTCTCTGTACATGCCTGGCGCCCAATATCTATTTTTTTTATTTATTGTTATTAATTAGTTTTCTTTCCAGTGAAATACCTTATCCACGACTGCTCTCCGATGAAAAGCTGCCGTTTGCAGTGGTAATGTTTATAAAAAACGCTACAAAACAATTATTATTTAAACAAAACTTGATAGAAAGATAATGACAGGAATTTTAGATATAATCAACTAACCAACTAAAAGACACAGCCAGAATAACAATTTTGCTCGAAGCGAAATTACTAACTTGATTACTAGCTCTAAAATATATAAAAATAAGTCTTCTAATGTATATTATGTATAATACCCCAATAAATTAAGTATAAATTAAATATTAAATGGCATTATTAAATTAAGATACTTAAATTATTTATCTCTGATAACCAAAATATTTTCTACTCTTGAACACTCTCAATTGATTATTTTTTTAGTACAGTATATCTTTTATCAAACATTACTCTTGTTATTTCATTATAAAATCCATATTAATACTTAAAATCAAGAATAAGAAATTTACGTAATAAAAATGGTATATGTATTCATTATTATTCTGGCAATATCAATTCTACTTTATAAAAGTGTTAGATGGTGTTGCAAAAATATTGAAGATGACGACGAAAGTAAGTAAGATTCTTATTTTTTTCCTGTTATTGGCATGTCACAGTTATATATATTGTCGTAATCTTTTTTGTTATACATGTGGGATTATAAAGATATCAATCATACCTATATTAAAGTGCTTTTCAATAGCACGCTACTAAGACAAATTGTTTGGAAAATATATGTAAATATTGGAGAATCCAAAGTAAAGAAATACGTCATTTGTGTTAATATTTTTTTCATGGATTTTCTTAGTTTGTCCCGAGTTTTTTAATATTAAGGTATTTCTCATATTTTTTGATGGGTCATCATGATTTTTACTGTAAAATGTAATAACAAAAATACCTAAAAATATCAGCTGTTTCCCTGCACTAAAACTTCATAATCATATCTTATCGCAAATTACGCAGAAACCACAGCCATTTTCGAAAAATTATATAAATTTATCTAATATTTTGAAATAGATGTAGCCGAAAAATGTCGTTGCCTTTACCGTCAATAATTATCGGTAGTGTATTAGCGATCGGTTTTCATATATATTTGATTGTAGTACTGTGGCTAAACAACTGGACACTTAGAAAAAAACAAATTCCAAATAGAGTTATTCCAATTAGTAAGTGTTTATTTTTAGTCTAGTCAAATTGTATTTTTTTGTGGAAAGCTTTGGGGTAGTTCTGATTTATTTTTTTAAGTTGTGTTTTTCGAATGAAACACCCTATATATTAATTGATTTTCGGATTCTGGGAGAAAAATAAATGTGAGTTTTATAAGAGAAGTATATGACTAAAATGTAAGGTTTATGACATATTTAACATTTTCTAAAAATAAAGAACAATTTTTAAATTACAATAAAAGCTACCTAAATTGGAATTTAGCCGGTATAGCCTAATATGTAGTTAAACTAACTATTGCATTTTAAATAAAATTAAAACTTGATCCAAAAAGTTATACAGGGTGAGACAAAATTAATATTGAACATTGGTCACCTTTAAAAGCATGTTACTCGTTTATTTTAAATGGTACACCCAGTATATTATTCCGATATTCAATGGAGAATTCATGTGTCTTCAAAATACTATTAAGGTTGCCTACCCCTCAAACTAAGACTTTCCTAGATATTTTCATTTAGATGATTTGATCTGAGTAGATCTTTATTATTTGATAAAATCTAGGTGGCTGGTGTTATGTTTGACGTTACTTCAACATAGCTGTCTAATTAGTCCAACTATAACAACTAGTTATCACTTTGTGTCAGTTAAGATAAAAAAAATCTCAGAAATTTGCCGAAAATGCAAACTTATCCTACATCAGCGAGAATTGATATGCTTTTATTAATAGAATACTTAAATGCTCCTGATTTTATCTAGTCTGGATTTTTTATGGGGATATGTTAAAGACAGTGTTTACAAAACTCGACCAACTATTGTCGACAACATGAGAGAAATTATTGTAGCTGCTTTTCAAGGTAGAACTCCACATAATGCCTTAGAAAATGAAAAGATCCTTTTGAAAAGACAACAATTTTAGGCAGTTAACAGGAAAGGAAGCATTTTGAGCATTTGATTTCATCTAGCTAATTTTCTAGTTTTAATTCTGTAATAATTAAAATATGTTTTAAACGTGTGTCTTATTATTACCGTTGAGTATTTTACTCTACATTATTTAATTTTTGTTAAATTAACAAAAGGTATATCACAGCCAACTAGATTTTTTCAAATAATAAAGGTCTACTGACGCAAAATCATAAAAATTAAAATATCTAAGAAAATCTTTGTCTGGGGGGTAGACAACCTTAATAACATTTTAAAGATATATAAATTGCCCATTGAACACCGGAATAATATACTGGGTGTTCTATTTAAAATAAAGGAGTAACTTGCTTTTAAAAGTGACTAATGTTCCATATTAATTTTGTCTCACCCTGTATGACTTTTCGGGTCAAATTTCAATTTGGTTTAACACACAATAGTTACTGTAATTAAATATCAGGCTATACAAGGTCAACTAAAATTTAGTTAGCTGTTAACGAGTACGTCACCGCAAATCGCTCCGCCCACTCATTTTATTGACTACTTGCAAATTTGTCGAATTTTTATTGATGAGACGCGTCGTCTAATTTTTTACGAGAAACATCGAGAGAATATCGTTTCCCCTCTCACGGATACCCCGTAGCTATAGAACGGACAGACGTACTGTACGTGTATTTATTATTTTGAAAATATTTGTCGTATTATTTCCAATATACTTTTTATATATATTTTATACAAAAATTAAATCATATAAGGATAAATTCTTTTTTAAAAATGTTTTAAAATACTTCTTTGAAAAATAGCTATGATGAATGGGCAACACATAGAAATCAGTAACCAGGGAAACGTTAAAATATGTTTTGACATTGAAAAGTCAAAATAAATTTTAATAAAATAATTTTATTAATGCACAAAACATCCCCCTTTAGAACTTTTTCTTTAATGGCCATAAGCGGGAGTAAAAGACCAACCGCCCGAACAAACACTAGAGGCGCCACCGGTCATCAAATGGTGTAAAAATTGCGAAAATTTAATCATCTAATTTTGACACAAGGAGTCGCGCTTAACTTTTTTAATTTTAATTGAATATTCATTGTTTTCAAACTATATTATTAGACTTTGTTGTATTTTGTGAATGTATAAATGTTTCCTTAGTATAAAATTGCATTATAGTAATTTAAATTATATTACATACATATTTAAGATCATAGATAAAAGAAAATAATCTTCTATTAAGATAGATATGAAACTTAATAGTAAAATTTTGGGTCAAAGCGCCCCTCCGTGTTCTTAGTGGAGACTACGTTTAACCCAGCGCCTTCGCCTTTTCTGCTGTAAATGTTTTTTATGTTTATATTTGAATTCAAAGGATTTAGTTTTAAAGTTACACTGATATATTAGTATATCAAAGTAACTTTAATAAAACATATAAGAATCTTTTTTTTAATTTTACAGTTTATTAAAAATAAATTTTCACTACAAGGTAGAAACTAAATAACAATATTTTATAAAACTTATAAGTATATCTTCAAAAGACTTATTCTTCTCTTATTTCGTCACTAGAAGAAAATCTACAAACTAAAATAGTTATTTTTGCAAACACTGCTGAGTTCATCCAACGAAGACCAATTTGGCAACGGTATCTATAACTTATCTTACTAATAAAACAAATTTGCCTAACAGCGCTATCAGATGGAGCAGACCGTCCGCGACTTCGAGCAAGTACCATGAGTTTATATGAACAATTTCACATGGGTCGCGTATGCTCCATCCGGATGATTTCTTCCGACGCGCGACGGCTATCTTGAAAAAACACGCGGACGCTCCGCTCCATCTGAAAGCGCTGTAACGGACGAAAAAAATTTAAGAAATATTTTTTTGATTTAAGTATAGCACAAACTTTGATTTAAGTATAGGACTACTAAGTGATAAGTGATGGCCTGCTCACTTCGCTATTCACAGACATTTTGAACGATATATTTCTTTATATCTCTTGTAAAGTTGATGTATATATGTATATATACCATACGATTGAAAAAATCGATGTCAGAGGTTGATTAAAAATTACGATTGTTTTTTTGTTTTAATTAAAAGTTATGTGTTGAATATCATCGATCATCATTCCCAAGGAAACTGCGACAGCGATTTTTCATTGTATGGTATTTTAAGCCAACTTGACACCGCTCTTTTTTTGTTACTGAATTAAATTTTACGTAAAAAACCGACGGTCGTTTTTAAATCCATCTCTGACGCCGTTTTTTATTTAACTTAATAATTATGATCTACAATTAAGATTCCATTTCGCTAGTCCAAAAAAGTAGCAAAAGAAGCGTTCCGCATTTAACGTTTTATGTCAAACTGGCTAGGTATTTTTACACAAATGAAGATGGAAATTAAAGATAAAGGATTATACTATATCCGTATTGTGGATATTTTTAGACAACTTCTTTATTTTTAAGATTTTGATGGTCAAACATCGACAAAATATTCCTTATGTTTGGACTAAATTTTCTCGGTAATAAAGACATAACTTAAAATTCCGTTACAATACGGAAATAGATTGAAGTTTTGTGATTACAGTGTTATATAATTTATATGGGTTTTTAACGAATTGCTCGCTATTTTATGGCAAATACTGAAGCGTTGCAAACCTTAATCAAACATTAATCAAAGCACGTGTGTTTGGAATTTTAGGTGTGGCTTAACACGACAGGATCGGACTAAGTCTTAGGCAGATTTCTGAAATATAATATATATTTTCTTCGCTTTACCCGACCCCTGAGAGCGACCCGAACAGTACAGCGTAATAGACTCTTAATATAAAATTTGCAAAAAAATCACAAGTTGAGAAATGATTTAAAATATGTACAATCTAAAATTGATCTAAACCTACTGGATAAACTCTGACCAATTAAGTATTTCGCATTTTTAAAGAAAAAGATTTGTGTTTTAGAAATTGTTTCCTAGCTAGTATTTTAATAGGGTCACTACTACTAGTACATTGTATTTTACCCTTTAAAATTTTGTTAACTCTCTTTGTCCAAGTATTTAAATGAAAATCAACAATGAAAGAAATAACCATATCTAAAGTGTCATGTTGAGTACAATTTAGCAAGCTGTTAATATTTGTTAATATTATAAATTTTAAAATGCTACCAATATTATTTTTATGACATATCCGTGGGACAGTATTTTCTAAGATATATATACATTTTTTAAATATTTTGCTAAAATTTGTGGTAGGAGCGAGTAAACTATTTATCCGAAAACTTCTACTTCTTATAACGAATTTGTCTTCGCTATTTAAATCTGTTAAGTCGCCAATTAAATCTGCTTTACATTTATCACAACCTTTTACCAGCTTTAAAATTCTTTTCCCAATATATCCCGCTATGTACGTTAAGGTTCCATTTTTAACTAATGAATAATTGATGGTATTAGGAACAGTAATGCCTTCAATAAGATTTTCTAACGGTATGGGATATTGAATATGTTCTCTAATAATTAGCTTTTTTAAATTGTGAAGCATTACTGTTCCATCTTCTTCGCAATTACAATTTTGGCTTAACGAAACAATGGAACCCAACATAATAGTTTTAAATGATGCAACAAATGAGTAGCATGTGGGATAGACATTCCGTGATCCGTGGCTTCTAATTCTTCCGAAGAAATTTTCCAGAGGATCTTGATTAATATTTCTGGAGCATAAAAATTTAAATCCGTCATTTTTTAATTTAGGCCATATGTACAGAAAAGCTTTTAGTGTGTGACACCAATTTTTTATTGACGGAGGCAGAATTCTTTTTCTTTTATCATTGAAAAATTCCATGGAGTTGAAAACTTCAATTGCTTCCTTCCAAAACTCTTCATGTTTTGTGGTATCGGAAACAGCACGTTGCAACTCTTTTCCACTTTTGTTAAATATTGCCCCGCCATTCAGACTGTCAAAGGCCTTGTCCATAAATAATAGGAGCTCCGCTGTTTCCAAACCACTAGGTGGCATATGCTGAGGCCCTATACAAATTAAAAAAATGCTGTACTATTTCTGATATCTCCAATTAGTTTAAAACTGATACAGCTCAATTTATAGAGCCAAAAAAAATTACTCACCTAATCTCGCTAAACCACGCATTAAGGAAGCTACCCGCTGACTGAATACTTGGGCAGCAATACTGACTTTCATCTTCTTTTTATTATGTACATGAATATCAGTTAATTTAGTGCACATTTTATAATCTTCCTCTTTCTCTTCCAGCTCATATAACGTTCGGATGTCTGTCCAAGATGCTGTTTCAATTTTGTTGTTGCGCCATTTGAAACGACAATTATATGTGAAAAGGTTATTTCGAATTCCCTTCAATAAATGAGGCGGGTCATAAAATGGGACAACTTCTTCTCCATCAACAAGAAATCCAAAATAATTGCTTCTCTCAACATCAATATTCTTGGTCTCCTCATATAAGAGGTTGATTGCTTTTATGTTTGCACTACCCTGGTCACATACAGTTCCTATTACTTTCAGCCCTATGGACTTACATTCAGTAATCACCAACTTAATACAATTTGCTAAAACATCAGATTTCATCCCTCCAGCGTTGAAAAAATAGCAAAGCGGTTGTTTCCACTTTTTATGAATGCCTCGTGCCATAAAAACCATCGCTTTATCTGCAAATAAAGGCAATCTTTCGTTTGCACCATTGTCTTGAAATCCTATAAAATAATCTTTTTTCTTTAGATACACTAAAGCTGGTTCTAATGCAACTTCATCAAATATTACAGTGCAGTACCTATCTAAGGAGTTCATTTTTAAAACGTGTTCTTTTAAGCTATCAAATAGCACTTTATTTATTCCACTCTCTAAGGAAACCATTCTGAGTAAACTATTTAAGGTTCTAGGTGTAGGCAAAGCAAAAAAATTACATAACAGTCGATATCCTTTTGGACTATTTTTAAATAAAGTCAAAGCAAACAATTTATCTTCATATGTAAATCTTCTTCCTTTAGGTTTTACATTCTGTTGCTTTAATTGCATTCTAACAAAATTATGTGTGACTTTATTTAGTTTCAAGGCTAAATAACCTGGCGATGATATAAATTTATTAGCTTCATTCAAACGCTTTTTTAAACTAACACCTTTAGTAAATAAGCGTTTAGCGGTTTTTCTTAACTGCCTCACTACTCCATGAAGCTTTCTTGCTTTTGGTGGTAATTCCAGTCTGTTTCTAACTTTCAAAGTTTGAAGAATGTTACTTCTTTTGGATAATTCTAAAACAAAATTTACTATCAAATATTACATATTTTTATAGGGTCCAGGTAGGGGAAAAGCACGATAAGCGCCATTTTACTAATTTTACAGAAGAATTAATCTCTTTTTAAATTCTTTTGAATCGTCTTTGAACGTTCTTTTCGTGTACGGTATATTTTTACTAGGCATATATCATATGATTTAACAGCTTATTGCCTTGCAGAGTTTATACATTTAGTAGGAACCAGTTACCTACAATAATATTGTAAAAGGTTAATATTAAAAAATTGGCGCTTATCATGTTTTTCCCGTGGACCCTTCATATTTTTTAATTTATTTTTTTAAGTCTTAAATTTTATTTAAGGTTTGTTTGTATTAGACTGTTGGCTGTAACAAATCTTTTGTCGAAGGATTGCGGACTACGCTACTATATGTGTATGAGGTCTGTTTCGTTTACCGTAATGTAATAAGCAATAATAAGATATTTAGCTTATTATTGCAACAATCGCTCTAGTAGATCATGCGTTTTTACCTGTTTGACATAGTGAGTAGGTAAAATTTAATAAAATATATAACTTACGTTTTGACGCTGAAGTGGTTCTTATATTTGCGAAAGTCAAATCATCAGATGGTTCAGAACTCGAATCTATAAATAAATACAGATTTATAAAAAACATGACCTTTTTTACAAAATTACATTGACTTATTTTGTAAATGAAAATTGTATAGTATAAATATAAAAAATAATACCTTCTACACCAATTAACCGCTTATCATTTCCTGAGCTAGATGGGATTTCACTTTTTTTCACTGGACTGCAGTCTACAAAAAAATATATATGAACAATAGTACTATGATAAATATAAAAATTTTACCTTCCGTTGTAGGTAATAAATACAATGATGGAAAACTAAATGCTTTTAAATTGGCACCACGTAGACCAATAATTTTGTCACTATCAGGAAAATGAATATGACATACTCTATAGTTCTTTCGAACAAGTGTCTTGTCCAGGAAGAACAGTTTGGAATTGTTAACTTGCTTGAGCCATAGGTTATATAACTAAAAATAAGATTAGTTAAAGCAAATGTAAAACATTACCATATTTATAGAAAAACCTATTAATTAGGTAGCCAGTCGACTCCGTACGTTTCGTACGAAGTACCCGCGTTTCACCTGCCGCCCCTGTTCTCGTACACATGCGGACGGTTAGAGTACCAGTCTCGATAGTTTTTATAAATGGAGCTTCAATGGATCTCAGCTAGAATCCGACTTCCTACATATATGTGGGTACGTAGGTACGCAGAGTTTCATGTAAATGATCGTAAGTCGACTGGCTGTCTAATGAATAGACCGAGATTTATAGATTTTAAAGCAAACGAAAAAAAAATCAAACAACGAATACATACCATATATTTTTTCTTTTATCTAAGATACATACCATATCGTATTTTGGAAACACGTGCATTTTTGCAGTTTTGTTAGTTTCTTTGCAAGATGCAACACAACAAGAAAACACCATGTTTAAAGTTAATAAATAATAAAACTTTTCGAAAAAAAAAATTCTGACTATGATATTTAAAATTTAAATAGATAGGAAATTAAAAAAACAAACCGGTATTTGCAGACTCAGGCTCAAATTGAATAAAAATCAAAGTTTTTCCTGCAAAAATCAGGCTTTTTTCACTAAAAAGGAATTTTTTGATTTATCAGCAATCATTGTCAAGTTGACAATATACAGGGTAATTCTAAGTTTTCTAATTAGTCTAAAAAACTTGTGGTGTGATTCCTCATCTGTTCTTAAAACAATTTTTATATAACCATTGGGTCTAAAGTACTTCCTTTCTGATCTACAGGGTGTTAAAAATTTAAAAAAATCGATTTTTTGCTTAACATAAATGGTACACCACCGCTTTTTTAAAGAAAATATATTTTTTTCTTGACTGGCGATCTCGCTGGCCATCCTTTTTCAACAAAATTGATCTTTTAAGTTTTCCTTCTTCATCAAACGGTTGTCGAGAAAAAAATAAATATACTTATTGAGGGCCCCCCTTTATCCGTTTTCTAATGATTTTTATTTTTTAGATTAATTAGGAAACACCCTGTATATGTATATTATAGATAACCCAGGTAACCAAATAAACTAGTAACCTCTAAAAATTATTTTCCTACCACTAGCGACATACCGTGTTCTTAGTGGGTACTAAATTATTTTATCAAAATTTCACCATATAAGTTTCCAGGCAATGGCTATAAGGCCGTCGACGAGCCGTAGATCCAAAACCGAAAGTTCAAAATTTCTAATTATATTCTGATTATGATATTGCCGCGCCATCTAGTATTCTATTTGTGCAATTTTAGCTCTTTCATTTCGAGTATTTTTCTGTTGCGTAGCTAGATATTCTGTGCTTGTACCCTGCTGGAGTGCTGGAAACATGCTGGAAAGCACTGGAAAGGAGAAGTGTCTAGCCCTATTTTATTTATTAAATATATAAATGACGCGCTGAAAGGAAGATTATATCACACACAAAGGCACATAGGATAGAGGTCACACAAACAGACTGCATTCGGAAACTGAAACAAAAAGAAAATAAAAAATAGAAAGTTGAGCATTATAATTTAATTCTATTAATGTTAAAAAATATCATAATAGTTTCTATTAATTTTTCACTTGGCTTAGACAAAACTGTAAATATTGATAGTGGAGTAGGAAAATTCATTTCAATAAATTTTTGATATAAATCCAAATTAAACAAAAAATTTATAGGACATTCTAAAAAGATCTGATTTAGGTCTTCAACAGAGCCACACTCACAGAATGGATCTTCCTTCACTTTAATTTTATATAAATGGTTTTTTTTTTAAGCAATGGCCTGTACGCATTCTAATTAACGTTGTAATATGTCTTCTATCTATATACTGGAAATTTTTAAACCATTGTTTATCTGGGAAGATTGTTTGTGTATTAAAATACACATGCTTTTTTCCTTTCATACGAGATTTCCAATTTTCCTTATAATTATACAAAATATCAGTTTTAATTGAATTAAAAATATCTATTGAATCCATCTCCATAGATTTCGGAATATTTAAATCTTTTCCAATATTAGCCAACAAATCTGCCTCTGTATTTCCCAAGATATTGGAATGACCTGGAATCCAGGCAATCCTGATGTCAAAACCATTAGAATTTGCTAAAAAAAAAAAAAAAAAAAAAAAAAAAAAAATCAAAATTTCACCATATAAGTTTCCAGGCAATGTTTAAGATTCAAATATTATGACATATATGTCAGTTGCCGTCTAAAATGTCATCTTGATAACAAAAAGTTAGTTATTGTCAAAAGTAGTTAAAATCATGTTAAAATATTAAAATTTACAAGTTATAATTAGATATTGCAGGTCCCTGTGTCCAACGAATGCTGACAAATTTTAGATTTGTAAAAATCTCCCTTTCTTAAATAATCTTTATGTTCTTTAATTCGAACATTTAAGGGTCTAGATATTTCACCAATGTAAAATTTATTGCACTCACATGGTATTTTAACATACAATATAATTAAAAATAACGTTTTAAAATTCCGAATCATTCCGGTGCCTGGAAAAAAAATTATGCGAGGTTAAAGGTCAAAAATCTCGAAAAAAATTGCGTTTTCGCGATTTTCAGCAAAACTGTAAGTTTTATCATAAAATTACCTTAGACAAAAATTATAGACCATAAAATTTTCTATTAAAAACGTATCAATACTTTTTTCCCTCAGAGCCACTATTTCTGAGATATAATGAGTCAAAGAGTTGTAATCGTCATAATATGCACACGTTTCCACGCCACCTATGCGTTTTTTTAACGTGGTTTCCTCAGTAGGCCTATTCCACATGTCTATTGTGATTTTGTTTAATAATTGAAAACTATTGACAGAATCAAAGATATTAGTAAGGATTGAAAATCATAAAAGCGATGGAAATATATATAACCTTCAAATTCTTGTTGTTCTTCATAATCTTCTTCTTCTTCTTGATCTTCGTCTTATTGGATCTTATTGGCTTATTGGCCTGGATGTAACTAAATTGCGTCAATAGTGAAGTATCGCATGTTTCTTCGTTGATATCAAACGAATCCTCTAATATTGGTGATTCAACATTAGAACGTGACCGGCCTTGACAATTTGTACATGCCATTGAACAAAACAGTCCAACCAGTTTTAAAAAGAGTCAAAATCATGTACTATTTTTACACGCAATAACTGGCTGTGATACGACGCGCGACGTCTGCATTTTACAAGAGGGGTAAAACAACAGCCTTTAAAACAAAACTTAACAAGGTTCAATGTGTTGGAGTTTTCAAAAAAGTAATTCAAGTCAACAAGATATTATCACTTACGGTATTCGCTTTCTTCTTTCAATGTATGGAGCTCCGAAAAAAAAAACACCTGCTTAGATAAGTATCGATATGCATGTTTCGTTAAAAACACTCAAACAGGTAAATTAGTCTTCCTTCAACCTCAGTTGCTGCTCATCGACATCTTTTCCCGGTATTTTTTAAGTTTAAGTGTATCTTGGTTATCAGCTAGACCCAAAAGACTGGGGTTGGAAGTTGGTCGACAATACATTAGAACCAATTCAGACTTTACTCCCACCTGTGCCGGAAAAACTGCTAAACACAATTTTTTGCAACTTTAAAAAGGGATGCAGTGCTAAATGTGGTTGTAAAAAAGTTGGACTGTTTTGTTCTCTGGCATGTACAAATTATCAAGGCCTGTCATATTCTAATGTTGAATCACCAATAGTAGAGGATTCGTTTGATACCAACGAAGAAACATGCGATACATCACTATTGACGCAATTTACTTACATCCAGGATGAAGAAAACGAAGAAGACTAAGATCAAGGATAAGAAGAAGATCAGAAGAACAACACGAAAAAGTATTTGAACGTTATGGATCAGACTAGTAAATTTCTATTTTTTTTTTATTTCCAACGCTTTTATAATTTCCAATCCTTACTAATATTTTTATTCTGCAATAGTTTTCAATTAAACAGAATCACAATAGACATGTGGAATAGGCCTACTGGGGAAACCACGTTAAAAAACGCGTTAAGTATTATGACGTATTATGACAATTACAACTCTTTGACTCATTATATCTGAGAAACAGTGGCTCTAAGGAAAAAAAGTATTGATACATTTTTTATAGAGAATTTTATGGTCTATAATTTTCGTCTGAGGTAATTTTATGCTGAAACTTACCGTTTTGCTGAAAATCGCGAATAAAACATTTTTTTTTTCGAGATTTTTGACCTTTGACCTCGCATGTATTTTTTTCCAGGCATCGGTATGATTCGGAATTTTAAAATATTTTTTTTAATTATGTTTTAAACAATTACACGCATTTTCAGCTTGTTGTAAATTTATGTACCTTTGAATGTCTAGATTGACTGGACTAAATTTGGTTTAAACTAGAAACTAAAATATTAAGTATTGAGTCAGCTATATTAATGAACCTTTGAGTCAATTTTTCTGAAATCCTCCCTTCTCTAATCAATGGTTTTAACTTTTCGACATATGTCACCAATTCTATTTTAACACACTCTCAAACAAAGCTAACACGTTGATCCAAATCTAATCTGCCCGTGCTTTCCAATAAAAAATATTTTTACACCAATCTTATCAGTTCCGTCTGGTTTTATCATTCACGTACCAATTGAATCTAAGGTTATTAATATTAGTGAAATATTAAAGATCCAGATACAAAGCACTGCCAATACTTTGTAAGTGCGCGATTTGTTTTTTATATTCGAAAAAAAGACAATATGGCATCCGATTTATCCACTGGAATAGCGGCTCTAGTCGTGGGTTTAATTCTTATCAATGTTCTTATTATCACTAAGAAGGTATGTTGTTCGCCAAAGAAGCCTCAGCGAAGACCAAGAAATATAAGGAGACGTCGTAAGTAGAGAAGTTAATTTCGTAAATTTTAGATTTTTGGTAGAATTTTTCTGGAAATTGAAAAAAAAACGTTTTTATCGAGGTTTTTATAATATAACAGAAATTTGAATTTACTACACAATAAATTAGGAGAATTATTTTGTATTTCATCTCAGCGGTCATTATTAATAGATAGTTAATGTAGATGTGAATGAAACGCACTGTACTTATTTTGTAACACACTCTCTCCCACCCAACAAATTTTTACGGTTAGGTATTTTCGGCTACACAGTAAATCTTAAAAATTATTGCAAAATCTCTTATCGCTGTGCGCTATGTACGAAGTATTTCCAATCAAAGTATAAGTGTATTATATTTCCTCTAAATGTGGCAATACTGGTGGTTGAATATGATCAGAGAGGGTTGATTACCGGTTGATATCGGCTGTTCTTAAAATGTAAGCCATAATTATTAAAATTTTCAAATTTAAATAGATAACTCTAAAGGATGATTCACGCTATACCGTGACGGGTCCGAGCCGTGCGTCGGTGAAGACACGGCCAAACATTGTCAAGTGTTATTTACACATATACATTCATGCCAGGCCGAGCACG